TTGAAAAAGCTGATTCATTTAATAAGTAAACACTGTCCATTGCTCAGAGATGCAAAACAGTGTTGTGATCTTTGTTTGGAACCATTTTCTTTGGCAAAATTGAGCAAAAACAGGCAATATTGTGTCTAAAATGTAAGTCACTTAATTCTAACTTTATTAAACATGTATAAAATCAATATTACATTTGTTATCATGCTGATATCTGGAGAAAAACGGCACTCTTCGTCTGATATAGATTAACTATATTAAATTATATAAATATAAAAGGCATGCAGAGGCATTTCTTCCATCTACAATTTAGAATGCCTTGAATGTTGATGATTCTAAATGCGTTTTAATAGACTAAATCACACAATGTATGCGCGCACTCTCTGTGTGTGTTTTTTTACTCGATATGTCAGATCGCACATCGTTAAAACAACACTTACCATATTATCGCAGACGATATAGTGTATGTCGCACACCCAGCTTTGAATTGAGTTGAAAATTAAATCATTCGCGGTTGTGCGAGCACTTGTTTGCACACAGTGTTGCCAATTTGGGGATTTTGTCGCCAAATTTAGCTACTTTCTCATTGTAGCTGCGACTTTTTTTTTTTTTGCTGATATCTGGAGAAAAACGGCACTCTTCGTCTGATATAGATTAACTATATTAAATTATATAAATATAAAAGGCATGCAGAGGCATTTCTTCCATCTACAATTTAGAATGCCTTGAATGTTGATGATTCTAAATGCGTTTTAATAGACTAAATCACACAATGTATGCGCGCACTCTCTGTGTGTGTTTTTTTACTCGATATGTCAGATCGCACATCGTTAAAACAACACTTACCATATTATCGCAGACGATATAGGCTACTGTATATCACACACCCCAGCCTCGACTTGAGTGGAAAATTAAATAATTTGTGGTCGTGTGAGCACTTGTTTGCAAATGAGCAAAGGTGTTTTTAGGAGTCTAACTTGGAAGCGCCAGACCACTGATTCGTCAAAACCTGCTTTCTTGCAGTCTGTGTTCTTTGTAGTAAGTAACGAATATGCTTTGGGGAAATGTATCGGAGTAAAAATGTGCATTTTAATTAGGAAATGTAGTGGAGTAAAAGTGAAAGTTGACAGAAATATAAAAACTCAAGTAAAATACAGATTCTCCCAAAAAATACTTAAGTACTGTAACGAAGTATTATTACTTCGTTATATTACACCACTGCATATTACTAGTATATTAGCTGTTTATTAGTAGGCTACTTATAAAGCACATACTAAATTTTAGATCCCTCACTACCCCCTACCTAAGCATAACGACCACAAAATCTTTCTTACTATTAAATTAGGAGTTTATTGAGGGGAAACATTTTGTTAATCATGAATATGTGTTCGCTAAATTTAAGTGTTACCAGAATTTTCTTACCATCTGAATTCTGCAGTCAGCACAGCCTCAGCTGCTACTACAGGCGACGCAATCTCGCCAAACCACACTTACCAAGAGCAGACAGCACAGAATGAGCTATGTGCCAGTTACAAAGGACACAGTCTTGCAGTCAAAGAAAGCTGGGCTGAGCGCAACCGAATACATAGGTTTTGCGATGTGTTTTTCAAGGTTGAGCTATGCATCACCGATGGTACCAAGCAAGACATCCAGTGGCCAAAGATATCCAGCTGTATATAGGTGTACATAAATCCACATTAAAAGAACATGTTTTGTGTGAACGGCCCCTAAATCTACCAGACTGACAAATTTGATTAGACAATGGATTGATGTGGACTTCCTAAATAAAAGAAACAATACATTGACTTCTAAAAACTTTTTTTTTTTTATGTCAGTGCTTCACTGATTAATATAACGTCTTTCATTGTCTCAAATATTGATATTAATTTGTGCAGTTCATTGGATTATTTTGCATGTTGTGTAATCACACTAAACTATTTTATAATCATATAACACAATAATATATAAAATACATATACACTTTTTAAAACCAGATTGGTTTATTTAGAGGTAGAGCACAGACTTTGCATGGATGTCACTCAAAGTGACACTTTCTCACAGGGAAAGATAGACTGAAAGCTTCAAATGATTTCAGCTCTCAGTCCTTCAGCATATCAAATTATTACAAGCCGCAGAACATCATATAAACAAGAAATGCCATTATTTTCGCCTGCCTATCCTTCGATTCAGTAATAAATTGCACATTTTCAGAGAATAGCGTTACTGCTCCCTTGTCTCAAAATGGTTTCGTTCATGGTTCTCAATATTTTTTCAGGCTCTTGCCATGGGAATGATGACGGAGTATTACCACTACATTTTTACTACCCTGGTAAGTTATGCATGAGTCTTTATATTATAAATCACATTCAAAACCACCAGTGATATTCATAAAATCATTTGGATTTCAGGCTATTATATTCCCTAAGTAGGAACATAGAAGCTTCTTTTTTTTTTTTCAAGTTCTGTTTCCTATTTTCACCACTGATGTGTTTTATTCTGAGAGATGCCAAGAAAACATTATATTATTATTTTAAAATGACTTTTTTCCCTATCCCATTTGCAGGCCTAAGTTATATAAAAATGTTTAGCAAGTTATTGTGATGTATTTATATTTAATTCAATACACAAATCATTTATACAACAGTTAAATCTAATAAAAAAAAAGATTTTTGTTTTGTTTAAGAATACTTATTTTCCCCTATATTTTTGTGTCAATATAAAAACTGTCAAATAAAGGGAATAACATATATTTTATTTATTTGTTTCATGGCTGGTAAATTTATGACATCTTATGACATCAAGGAAGCTCACTAGATTTTAGACTAAAGCTTGTATATAACACATATTACTTTTGCAGTTTTAGTTTTTTTTTTTATTACATTTCAGTAAATTTATAAACTTTTCACATATTTTAGGATCTCTTCGCGTTGGATGTGGAGCCCTATCGCTACAGCGGGGTCAACATGACCGGATTCCGGATCCTAAACACAGAGAACAGCCAGGTGTCCTCCATCATTGAAAAGTGGTCCATGGAGCGTCTGCAGGCGCCTCCTAAACCAGACTCTGGCCTGCTGGATGGTTTCATGACAGTAAGACGCTTTTACAGCATGTTCTCTAGAAAATATTTAGGCCAATGATTTTCAGCTGGCTTTGGTTCAGGACTCAGATTTTACATGCCATCATGTGGCAAACATACACGTTTCAAAAGTCTCTTGCCTGTTATTTACAATAGTTATAAGTCATCAGAAAAGCATGGTATGCAAATACAGTCAAGGTGATAACAGTAGAGTTTGTTTTTAATTGATGCTGTGGGAAGTTGTTTGCTCTGTCTGTGTATAGCACTATTCCCCAGAGAACTCGAACCCACAACCTGCAGGGTATGCTGCGATCTGAAGCGTGTGTGATAAACAGGGACTCTGCTGTAGTGATCTAAAAACTGTCTGATATCAACATACTGGCAGTATCCCAGTTCTTCCTCAACAGTGGCTCTCCTATCTGGGAAAAGGGCCAACATATGAACTCACTAGAGGCTGGGTGAGACGGAAACAGAGGAAAGATGAGAGCTCACATGCCAAAACGATCTAACCTGCCAAAATAACTCTCATGGGACACAACACAATGACACTTCACTGGACTCGTTCCTTCACGTCCTGTTTAGAGAGAAATTTACCCAGCTATGACAAGTGAAGACTTAGATTCTGTCATGATTTACTCACGCTCATGTCATTCCAAACCTGTCTGTCTTCTTTGGTCTGTGGAACACAATAGAAGATATTTAGCAGAATGCAGGGGGACCGTGGGTGTTTAAAGTCATGCCTTTTAATCACTTTTATATATTTAAGGTCAGTAAAAAGGCTCTTAAATAATAATAACATTGGTTGGGCTCATCTTGGAGCTCATCACAAGTCTGCTGCCGGCTTGACTTCCCAGTCATCTGGCAGTTTACAATATTGTGTCATTTTGTTCTGCTATGGAAATACAGTAATATTTGTATTTGTTCAGGTCTTTAAAAGGTCTTAAAGGGATACTTAATCCAAAAAACGAAAGCTCTGTTATCATTTACTCATTCTCAACTCATTCCAAACCCATAAGACTTTAAAGATATTTTAAAGTCTTATGGGTCTTTAAGTCTTTAAATATTTTGATATCAGCGATTTTAGATTAAGCTGCCCATAAATATGGGTGATTTTCAGTTTTTGTGGGTCTTGAAAGGGTCTTAAAAAGCCTCAATTTGCCCTTCTACAAATTAAGGCCTAAAAAGGTCTTAAATTAGAGCAGAAAGTCATAAATTCTTAAAATCTTGAGGTTTAATGTTGCATGTACTGCAAAAAATAATTATTTCCCTCAGTATTTTTGTCTTGTTTTCTAATAAAAATATCTGAACTTCCTTAAATCAAGATACATTTACGTGAGACAAAAAATGAAGTAAAAAAAACAAAGTTTTTACTTAGAATTTTTCTAAGCCCATTAGCAGATATTTGCCCTTGGTTTAATAATAAAAAATAAAAAAAAACATAATTTTAATTAATTTTTCAGAAATACTTTTTTTTTTTTTATCTTATGACATTTTGCTTCTCAAGCAGATCCATCTTGATTTAAGAATATTTAGGCATTTGCATTGGAAAACAAGACAATAATAATGAGGAAAAACTTTTTTTGTGAAATGAAATTAAAATGAAAAGTAATGTTACATAAAAGATGATGTGACATAGTCGAATTCAATTTATTTATTGTACGTCTGTAGAAGAACAATTTGGAATATAGTTCACAAGTTGTATGGAACCTTTATATTGCATTTTTGGAGCTCAACAGTGTGAATTTTCGAAAACATCTCTTTGTTCAAAACATCTCCTGGCAGAACTAAAATCATTCAGCTTTGGAACAGCATGAGGGTGAGCAATCCTTGAATAATTTGAAGAAAGAATCCAGTAGAGAGTGAACTATATCCAAACACTCATGGCAGTGGATATAGACAGCTGAAGGGAGGCCAGCTGGAAGGTAAATTTCCCCTTTCTAACCCAGTCGATTAAAAGACTCAAAGCCTTTAATTAGCTGACTCAGCCTGTCTTACAGTACAGCTCACACAGTAACTCATCAGTCTATCTTCACTCATCGGCTCAGAAAAAGACAAACTCTCTCTATTCAAGACTGTCTATCCACATGTCAATCCCTTTCAGCTATAACATTGATGGCCATGATTATTTAGAAACCATAATGGTTCAGGTTTTCCTGAGAGCTGCATTTGAAGGCACGCGTTAATTAATCAGCCAAATGGCAATCAGTCAGAGGCTAATGCATATTGACACTGTGAAAAGTTTCCGTAAATGTTTGATTAGCAGTAGGGCTGCACGATAAATCGCATGCGATATTTAATGCGCATCTTGTCAGAAAGCCGGTTCTGTAATCAGCGGTAAATCTCCATCACCTGCGGGCTTTTACATTGAGCAGCATTAACTACACAGAGCCGTTGTTCACTGAGGAGCTGCGCAAAAAATCGCGCGAATATGAACGTGGTTTTGCGCAACTCGTTTGTGAACAACGGCTCTGTGTAGTTAATGCTGCTCAATGTGAAAGCCCGCAGGTGATGGAGATTTACCGCTGATTACAGAACCGGCTTCACTGATAAGATGCGCGTTAAATATCGCATGCGATTTATCGTGC